TTTTTCCCCTTTTATCACCTAAGAAAATGAAAACGCGAATACAACGATAAATACTATACAAAAATACACCTCAAAGTCGGCGTATTATTTCAAAAAAACGAGTTTTTTTCTCATTACGCAATGTGTGCTGCAGGATTTTTTTTATGTGGTGCACACTGACCACACAGACCCATTCTCTCACATGTGGGCCTACCAGCTTTCTCCCGCTTGATTTGAAGCCGCTAGAATTATTGAGTATATATACGTCAGAAACATTGGCTCGTAAGACGTATTTATACGTCGAAAACAGTCAAAGGGTTAAAAGAGGAAAATTGACTCTGCAAACGAGCAAATCCAGTTGCGAGCAAGGCCATGGAATGGATTAAACTCGCAAGTAAGGTTCCACTGTACCCGAGAATAAATCCCTAAATGAGGAGAAACTTTAATAATCAACAACGTTCACTTGATTATATAAAATAGTTGACTGACTATTGAGAGTATATCCCTGGGTGTTTTCTCAGTAAATTTTAATATTTAAGAACTCTAACTTGACTATATAAAATAGTTGACTGGGTATTGAGAATATATCCCTGGGTGGGTTTTTCTCAGCAAATTTTTAAAGCCGGGTCACCATCTGGAGAAGACCCGGGGCCCGGAAGTAACGGGCGAATCAACAAGAAGAAGTAAATTTTAAACAAGAATTCTAACCTGAACTATATAAAATAGTTGACTGACTATTGAGAAATATCCCAGGGTGTTTTCTCAGTAAATTTTAATATTCAAGAGCTCTAACTTGACTATATAAAATAGTTGGCTGACTATTGAGAATATATCCCTGGGTGTTTTCTCAGTAAATTTTAATATTCAAGAACTTTTTCCCCTGACTATATAAAAATAGTTTTTACTGACTATTGAGAGTAATATCCCTGGGAGCTTTCTTAGCAAATCTATATAAATCAGTCGGTGATTGGGAAAAGCTTGCGTGCTCTCTTTCATCGCGGCTGCTTCTTCCTCTAAGTCCGTCACCTAGAGAAAAATGGACTGGTTCAAGATACGCTCTCGCCGACTTCGGGAGAAATCTGTTGATTCCAGGTGGATTCTGGAAAATGAAAGCACCTTAAAATTAAGGACCTCGGTTATGGAGGGTGTGGGAAGACCCAACTCTGGAATCTTCCAGGAAAACGACACACCATGGTCCTCAAAAACATCTTCGATCCTAATACCCGAGAAACAGATTGTCTGCGCGAGGCCCAGATCTTGGAGAAACTCAACGGTGCAGGTGGAGCTCCCAGACTTCTGGGTCTGTCTCCTGAGAAGGTTGTTACTTTATGTCTTTTTTGGGATTGGAGGATCTCGAAACACTCAGCCACAACCAGGAGATAGGTAGGGAAAAATTAGATGATTTGTTTTGGCTAAAAGCCATAGAAAGCATCATCAAGAATTTGATTAAAATCCACAAAAAATGCATTGTCCATCTGGACCTTAATTGTCCGAATTACTCAAATTCAAGGTTGCTCTTAGTAGATATATTACTCTGTTGCGCAAGTAAAAAAACAGTAATTTAGCCTAACAAAAGCCACCTAAACCACCCCTCGAATAATCTAATGCAGCTTAACCTTACTCCACCATCGGTACTTGTGCATCTTTAACATTAATGGGCTATTCATATGCCATGACATAATGACTACATGTTAACTGCCTCAAGCAATTTAACAATTTTTACTTATATCTCAAAAAATAACAATTTCCACAAGAAATACTCATTCCATGGTGTAACATAGATAATATGTAATGTAATATGTAGTATGTTAATTCCAGAGTTGCGTCGAGTAGTAGTCTAATAAAAGTCCATATAATAGCGATAGTAATCCATAATAGCAGCAATGACAGTCCATAATAATAGCAATGATAGTCCGTAATAATAGCAATGACAGTCCATAATAATAGCAATGATAGTCCATAATAATACCAATGACAGTCAATAATAATCAATCAAGTTTATTCTCTATAAGGATTACAATGCAGGGTTTACAGATTTTGGTTATTGTGTGGTTTACATGTAATAAAATACTAATTACAGAGGGGGCCACTAGGACACCTAGCATGGCTAGGCATTTCGGGCAAACTTAGATTAATTCTTAACCCTAAATTATTACAAATTATGGAGTAAGTTGACTAAATACAGTTGACTAAATGACAGTCCATAATAATAGCAATGATAGTCCGTAATAATAGCAATGATAGTCCGTAATAATTCTCCATGGGGAAGTAGAACGGAATTCTTCCTCCGTAAGAAATGCGTGTTGTAAGAGGCAACTAAAATGCCAGGAGCAAGGGGCTAGTAACCCCTTCTCCTGTATATATTACTAAATGTAAAAGGAGAAACTTTCGTTTTTCCTTTTGGGCCACCCCGCCTTGGTGGGATACGGCTGGTGTGTTGAAAGAAAGTCTGTAATAATAGCAATGATAGCCCATAATAATAGCAATGATAGTCTGTAATAATAGCAATGATAGTCTGTAATAATAGCAATGACAGTCCGTAATAATAGCAATGACAGTCCGTAATAATAGCAATGACAGTCCGTAATAATACCAATGACAGTCTGTAATAACAGCAATGACAGTCCGTAATAATAGCAATGACAGTCTGTAATAATAGCAATGACAGTCCGTAATAATAGCAATGACAGTCCGTAATAATAGCAATGACAGTCCGTAATAATAGCAATGACAGTCCATAATATTAGCAATGACAGTCCATAATATTAGCAATGACAGTCCGTAATATTAGCAATGACAGTCTGTAATATTAGCAATGTGGCTCGTACGTTGGTTTGCGTGCAGCCAGCAGCAACAGCCTGGTTGATCAGGCTCTGATCCACCAGGAGGCCTGGTCACAGACCGGGCCGCGGGGGCATTGACCCCCGGAACTCTCTCCAGGTAAACTCCAGGTAATGACAGTCTGTAATATTAGCAATGACAGTCTGTAATATTAGCAATGACAGTCTGTAATATTAGCAATGACAGTCTGTAATAATAGCAATGATAGCCCATAATAATAGCAATGATAGCCATAAATAATAGCAATGATAGCCCATAATAATAGAAAATGATAGTCTGTAATAAAAAGCAATGATAGCTCGTGTATAACCGGAGTTTACCTGGAGAGATTTTCCGGGGGTCAACGCCCCCGGCCCAGTCTGTGACCAGGCCCTGGTGGATCAGAGCCTGATCAACCAGCTTACTGCGGCTGCACGCAAACCAACGTACGAGCCACAGCCCTGATCAGGAACCCACTTTAGGTGCTTGTCCAGTGCCCGCTTAAGACTTCCAGGGTCTGTTGTAATCCCCCTTATGTATGCTGGGAGGCAGTTGAACAGTCTCGGGCCCTGACACTTGTTTATGGTCTCTTAAAAAAAGCTAAGTGCCACCCCTGCTTTCATTGGGGGATGTTGCATCGTCTCCAAGTCTTTGCTTCGTAATGATACTCGTTATAAATAGCAATGACATCCGTAATAAAGCAATGACAGTCCGTAATAATAGCAATGACAGTCCGTAATAATAGCAATGACAGTCCGTAATAATAGCAATGACAGTCCGTAATAATAGCAATGACAGTCCGTAATAATAGCAATGACATCAGTAATAATAGCAATGACAGTCCCGTAATAATAGCAATGACAGTCCGTAAAAATAGCAATACGTCCCCCTAAAATAGCAATGGGCAGTCCGTAATAATAGCAATGACAGTCCGTAATAATAGCAATGACAGTCCGTAATAATAGCAATGACAGTCCGTAATAATAGCAATGACAGTCCGTAATAATAGCAATGACAGTCCGTAATAATAGCAATGACAGTCCGTAATAATAGCAATGATAGCCCGTAATAATAGTAATGACAGCCCGTAATAATAGTAATGACAGTCTGTAATAATAGCAATGATAGTCTGTAATAATAGCAATGATAGTCTGTAATAATAGCAATGATAGTCTGTAATAATAGCAATGATAGTCTGTAATAATAGCAAGATAGCTGTAATAATAGCAATGATAGTCTGTAATAATAGCAATGATAGTCTGTAATAATAGCAATGATAGTCTGTAATAATAGCAATGATAGTCTGTAATAATAGCAATGATAGTCTGTAAAATAGCCCAAGATAGTCTGTAATAATAGCAATGATAGTCTGTAATAATAGCAATGATAGTCTGTAATAATAGCAATGATAGTCTGTAATAATAGCAATGATAGTCTGTAATAATAGCAATGACAGTCTGTAATAATAGCAATGACAGTCTGTAATAATAGCAATGACAGTCTGTAATATTAGCAGTGACAGTCTGTAATAATAGCAATGACAGTCTGTAATAATAGCAATGATAGCCCATAATAATAGCAATGATAGCCCATAATAATAGCAATGATAGCCCATAATAATAGCAATGATAGCCCATAATAATAGCAATGATAGCCCATAATAATAGCAATGATAGCCCATAATAATAGCAATGATAGCCCATAATAATAGCAATGATAGCCCATAATAATAGCAATGACAGTCTGTAATATTAGCAATGACAGTCTGTAATATTAGCAGTGACAGTCTGTAATAATAGCAATGACCCGGTGGCCCGGTGGCCTGGTGGCTAAAGCTCCCGCTTCACACACGGAGGGCCCGGGTTCGATTCCCGGCGGGTGGAAACATTTCGACACGTTTCCTTACACCTGTTGTCCTGTTCACCTAGCAGCAAATAGGTACCTGGGTGTTAGTCGACTGGTGTGGGTCGCATCCTGGGGGACAAGATTAAGGACCCCAATGGAAATAAGTTAGACAGTCCTCGATGACGCACTGACTTTCTTGGGTTATCCTGGGTGGCTAACCCTCCGGGGTTAAAAATCCGAACGAAATCTTATCTTATCTTATCTTATGACTGTAATAATAGCAATGATAGCCCATAATAATAGCAATATAATAATAATAAGATGGTGTATAAGAGTGGTAAAATAATGATAATTACCTGTCCTTCCCTGGCACTATTAGAGCGAATCTTAGTGTCTGTGGTGATCATCTTAGTGTTCTTGTGCTCCCTGGTACCTGAGTTACCTGCTTCCTGGTACCTGAGTTACCTGCTTCCTGGTACCTGAGTCTGCTGATTCCTGGTACCTGAGTCTCTGCTGCTTTCTGGTACCCGAGTCTCTGCTGATTCCTGGTACCTGAGTCTCTGCTGATTCCTGGTACCTGAGTCTGCTGCTTCCTGGTACCTGAGTCTCTGCTGCTTTCTGGTACCTGAGTCTGCTGATTCCTGGTACCCGAGTCTCTGCTGCTTTCTGGTACCTGAGTCTGCTGATTCCTGGTACCCGAGTCTGCTGCTTCCTGGTACCTGAGTCTCTGCTGCTTCCTGGTACCAGAGCCTCTGCTGCTTCCTGGTACCTGAGCCTCTGGTTCTTCTTGATACTTGATGCTCTTCTTGGTACGTGAGACTTTCCCGGTTTCTGAGGTTCTGCTTCTCCCTGGTACCTGAGGCTCTTCTCCCTGGTACCTGAAGCTCTTCTCCCTGGTACCTGAAGCTCTTCTCCCTGGTACCTGAAGCTCTTCTCCCTGGTACCTGAAGCTCTTCTTCCCGGTACCTGAGGTTCTGCTTCTCCCTGGTACCTGAAGCTCTTCTTCCCGGTACCTGAGGTTCTGCTTCTCCCTGGTACCTGAAGCTCTTCTTCCCGGTACCTGAGGTTCTGCTTCTCCCTGGTACCTGAAGCTCTTCTCCCTGGTACCTGAGGCTCTTCTTCCCGGTACGTGAGGCTGTGCTTCTCCCTGGTACCTGAGGCTCTTCTCCCTGGTACCTGAAGCTCTTCTTCCCGGTACCTGAGGCTCTGCTTCTTCCCGGTACCTGAGGCTCTGCTTCTTCCCGGTACCTGAGGCTCTGCTTCTCCCTGGTACCTGAGGCTCTTCTTCCCTGGTACCTGAGGCTCTTCTTCCCTGGTACCTGAGGCTCTTCTTCCCCGGTACCTGAGGCTCTTCCCTGGTACCTGAAGCTCTTCTTCCCTGGTACCTGAGGCTCTTCTTCCCTGGTACCTGAGGCTCTTCTTCCCTGGTACCTGAGGCTCTTCTTCCCTGGTACCTGAGGCTCTTCTTCCCTGGTACCTGAGGCTCTTCTTCCCTGGTACCTGAGGCTCTACTTCTCTTTATCAGGTAGTGTCAGCCCCGCCCCCTGGCTGCCTCTACACAGGTGTCAGCTGCTGACTGACTCACTACTTCAGTTACCCCTTAACATTACTACTACTGCCATCTCTTATGAGAAATTCCAATTATTCCCTGACACTTTATTACCTATGTCACCCCCCTAGGGAAGGCTCCTAGCGCAATGGTAGTGCCATAGGCTCACAACTGATGGATCAGGGTTCAATTCTGGGGTGGGTAGAGAAATGGGCATGTTTTCTTACACTTTTTTTGGCAGTGTTCACCTAGCAAGGACCTTAATGGAAGTAGGTTCATTTAGGTACTTCTGTACCTGAGTACATTTATTATACCTAGTAACGTGTGTAAATTATCTAGAACCAGGGACCTTAGTGGAAATAAATTACTTTGTCTTTGAGTTATCCTAAGTAATTTATATTATGTATGATAATTGTACTTATGTGTACTTGTGCCTAAATAAATTTACAGGTATACATAAGTACAATTATCTGGAGTAAATTGCATAGGATAACCAATCATTCGTGCCGGGAATCGAACCTCGGTCCCTGAGTGTTGGTAGCTGAGGCGGCTACCAACAGAGCCACGAGGAAACTAGAGTCAGGTTGACCACAGGATGGGTATGGGGTGCATAATAAATATATTAAACTTAAATTAAAAGGCTAGCCTTGCCAGGAGTGCAGATTTTAGGAAAGTCCAGAGCCAACATGCTCCAGGTATTTTTTTCTTGTGTGTCAGTGATCTTTAAGTTTATTTAGGCACAGGTGCCCATAAGTACAATTAGCATAGTGTAAATTACCTAAAAAAAAGTCAGACAAAAACACTTTGTGTGTTATAACCTACATGTATCAACTATCCAGAATTTAGCAAACAAGTGTGCCTTGGTTAGTTCTTTATATCGTTTTTCAAATAGATGATGAAATACATTTCTTATGAGACCACTTCAATAGGTTTTTTGTTAATATCAGACAGGAATAGTCACGTAGTATTGTACTGGACGTGCAATAAATGTTCAACAAAGCTCAGTGTTGCAAGGTGACACTAACAGCTACAAGCTTGCAATACCAGACATAACATTAAATCTCCATCAGTGAAGATGATTTAGAAGAGGCAGCTGCAGTGTTCACCCAACTCTGGTAGGGAAGGTGTGAACCGAGCTTGGGCAGGTCTTGAAGAGCTCTACCAGTCATTATGATGGTTGGGATCTTGTTAGTGTTGCAGGCAGTCATGACCATGGCTGGACCCTGGGCCATGGACCTTTATGATTTCAGTACACGTACGTAGTTAAGCTCCATTAATTTTGAGGACTGTTAAAGGTTTTTGTCATAAGTGGTTGACTTTTATAGTGTCTGGGTTTGAAGGGCTAATGTCGATGTGTTTAGTGGTGAAGACCCACTGGTGATAGTACTGGTGAAGACCCACTGGTGATAGTACTGGTGAAGACCCTCTGGTGATAGTACTGGTGAAGACCCACTGGTGATAGTACTGAAGACCCAGTGGTGATAGTACTGGTGAAGACCCAGTGGTGATAGTACTGGTGAAGACCCACTGGTGATAGTACTGGTGAAGACCCAGTGGTGCTAATACTAGTGAAGACCCACTGTGGCACTAATACACATGTACTGTACTTACAAAGATATCAGTGCAATATTTGAGTCCTTTATACAACATATTTTGCTAATTAATTTTAGCTAATATAAGCCAGTTGTTGCACACTTTAATAGATATTTTTATTTTGTCCACAGCTTGTGTGTCAGACATCCAGTGTCCCCAGGGTTGCAGAGTAGAGCTAGCAACAAGTGGATGCAACGAGTGCAACTGCAGCCTTCAAGGAAAATGCTCGACAATATCTTATTGTCCAATTTCCTGTGAGGTTGTCAGCGATGCAGACGGCTGCATTACATGTGAATGCCCTCTTCAGTGTCCTAAGATAGAGTGTCAGCCGCCGTGTCAGTACAGGCTTGGCTTTGATGGATGTAATGCATGTGAATGTTCTTCCCCTTGTCCAGAACTAAATTGTCAGCCTCCATGTTACATCAAGTCTTTTCCTGACAAGTGTGATGTCTGTGATTGTTCTTATCAATGCCCGAAGGTGGATTGTGAATTTCCCTGCCACTTGATGAAGGGTACTGATGGCTGCGATTTCTGTAACTGTTGCCCAGTTATAGAAACATGTCCAACATTTTGCACCATACACAAAGATGGAAATGGCTGCGACTTATGTGAGTGTCCACCTTGTAAAGAAGTCAGTCAGTGTTCTCCACCGTGTTACACACAAGAGGACATTAATGGTTGTGATGTTTGTACATGTAGACAGTGTGTACCTGTGGAAGACTGTCCCACTGGTTGTCAGGTAAGACTTGACAGTGACGGGTGTGATGTGTGTGACTGTCCTCAGTGTATACCACTCACAAACTGTCCACCTGAATGCCCCTTGAAGGAAGACTGGTATGGTTGCGACACGTGCCCTTGCCCACCATGCAAACCAATCGACGATTGCCCAATAGGGTGTTCTCTTCTAAAAGGCCAGTACGGCTGCTTATACTGCAAGTGTTCAAAATGCGAACCTATTTCTGACTGTCCAGAGCTATGCAATGTCGTAAAAAATTCTGACGGATGCGACACTTGCCAGTGTTCAGCTTGCCCACTTGTACCCAAGTGCCCCTCACACTGTTCACTCACAAAGGACAATGATGACTGTACAGTATGTGACTGCAGTCTATGTACCCCCTTAATATACTGCCCTTCTGGATGCAAAATACAAACCGATCAAAACAACTGTGATGTGTGTGAGTGTACTGACTGTGAACCTATCATTGACTGCCCAGTGGGATGTGAAGTACAGAGAGGCGAAGATGGTTGTGAAGTTTGTAATTGTGAAATATGTCGGCCTCCTCTGAACTGTCCACCTCAATGTTCACTTTTAAACGACGCTCCAGGATGTGATATCTATGACTGTATGCATAATAGGTGCAGGTCTTAACTACCTTCTAAGAGTGTGAAGCAAGCCACGGAACAAGTTGGATTTGAACCCATGGCGAGTCCTAAAACTTGCCATGGGTTCAATTCCAACCGTTCCATGATTGGTTTGGAGTCGCGTTATTATGATTTCACGAGTGTGAAGCACTATTGCCTGAGCAAAATGTACACATAAGTACAATTATCATATATAGTGTAAATTACCTAGTGGGCGGGGAGGATAGGACCGGAGACGATGGGGAGGGATTAAAGATGAGGGGAAATGAGACTAAGGGGGGATAACAGGGAGTTGAGGACAACCAGCTTTAAAACTCCTTACCTGAGCAAAGATGCAGTGGGGGACCATTTTTTTGGGGCCCGGGTTTTAACTGTAAGGGGGGGCCCTTTCGCAACCCCTTCCAAACGTAGACCCAAAATTTTTAAGAAAATTTGGGGACAAGTCATTTCCGGGGGCCCTGGGATTAGGACCCTAAATTAGGGCCCCAAAGCTTAAAATTCATTAGTTGCAATAGATCCGCCCCACGCAAACCCTTTAACATGGAGAATTTACTCAGTAGGAGATAAAATTTTTTGGGGGTAAACAGTCGGGCATCATTTGTTTTCCTCGTTATGAATTTGACAAAAAAAAAATTGCAAATATAATTTAAAGTCCAAACTTCAAACCCGCTAAAGGGGCTTCAGCGGGAAACCGAAAATAACAATATTCTGTATTTTCTCTATTTGAGCTGGTGTTTTTTTAAAATTTAAAAAAACAGTAAAGAAAATTTTGAGCCAGGTGGTGTAATAACTTTGGTGTTCAGGGGTCCATTGAACAAAATTATTGAAAACACCATAATCTTTATTCGAAACTTTCGCCTACACAGTAGGCTTTTCATCTAGTACAGAGGAGGCAGCAGGAATAATAGAGATTAAAAGAATTTTATCAACCATCCCCCTTGAAGACGTATTTTGAGGTGGTCAGTCCCTGCCTGGAAAATTTTATCGCCCAGTCTGGAACAATTTTGAGGGACGAACCCCTAAAACCACATCTTCGGGGGTGATGGAGAATATAAGTTTTTTACACCCTCACTTTCTACTGACCCTTGTACTCGACTGAAGAAGCCACGGTGGGGCGGGCTTTTTCGAAATAAAATTACCAATTATTGCACGTGTAAATTTTTGTCAACGTGTCGGTAATTGTATACCATTATCAGTTAGCAAGTTTTATGACCACGGGTTTGTAAACTTGTTAGGAGTGTGACAAAAATGGTAACATTGGTGACAACCATGAAAAGAGCAACAACGTATTTTTTTACCAGTTCTACCTAGTGACAAATCACCTGACCAACTAAAAGTCAGAATTAGCTATGCACCAATAAGGGGGAAAATTTTGGGACCCCGTGAAACAGTGTATTTTTTTCCCCGGGCACCATCCAATTATTATAAGCATAGGGGCGCTAAAAACCTGGATTAACAGCGCCCCTGGGGGGATGGGAGGTATTCGGCTCAATTCAGGGAACGGAGTAAATTTCCGTTCCCCAGATCAAGAGCCCCCCCCACCAACATCAAGGAACCTTCCTTGAGGGGTTTTAGTTTTAAAGGGAAACCCCCCTTTTAGGGTGCTCACCTGTGAAGGTGGTGTGTGTAATAGGGGGTAAAGGTACCATCAAAAACCTACGTGAGCTGTGTTATCAAGGTGTCACGTGAGGGGTCTTTACCATTGGGATGCCCCCTTTTCAGTAATTTTATTTCAACAGTCTAAAACTAAGCTCTAAACCCATACCTGCAGTATACCTGGAGAGAGTTTTGGGGGTCATAAGGGTCATACAGTGCTGACCCCATGTAATAATGAGAGTTTACTAGGTTTCTTTTTCTAGTTTATGCTGTCTCTATTATTACTTATGTTAATACAATGTTTAGCATATGATTCTCTTGAATTTTTAGTTCTTGATGCAGTAAGGTTGTCACTTGTCTTAAAAACTATTACAGTACTATAATTGCCTGACCAGCTGGGCTGTGGTTCGTACGTTGGATTGCGTGCAGCCAGCAGTAACAGCCTGGTTGATCAGGCCCTGATCCACCATGAGGTCTGGTCACAGACTGGGCTGCAGGGGCGTTGACCCCCAGAACTCTCTCCAGGTAAACTCCAGGTAAACACCATTATCTCTTCTACAGGACCAGAGTGTAATATTGCTGAGGATAGCCAAGGATGTGATATCTGTTACTGTCACTACTCTGAAGCTGTAACATGTGCCCCAGAGTGTGACGTTACCAAGGATGACAGAGGTTGTGACATGTAACTGTCCATGCGAGCTTGTTGTGTGTCCTCAAGACTGCAGTGTTACAACAGAAGTAACAAGTTGTCAAGCATGTGACTGTCACTGCAAGCCAGTTACGAGTCTTCTAGATTGTAACGTTACAAGAGATAACTTTGGCTGTGACATGCGAATGTCCCCATGCACATGTCATGTGTCCCCCAGAGTGCTTTGTAATAAGTACAGGAGGATGCGACTGTCCACGTCCCTATGTTACTTGCTCTCCAGAGTGTAACACTGTAGAAGATAACGCAGGATGTGACATCTCTGGCTGTGCCTGTCAGCCAATAACATGCACTCCTGACTGTAACATCAAGAGAGACGAGAGGGGATGTGATGTATGTGACTGCCCCCCTTTATAAGAAAATCACATGTCCACTGGGATGTGTAATTAAAGATGTGATGTGTGTGACTGCTCTCCCAGAGTGTGTGGTAACAGCTGCACACCTGTGGTTACTATTCATGGATGTGATGCGTGCGTCTGCTAAAATTTGTTTTGATTAGTCTTCTCAAAATGCAGTGCATACTAGTGTCTTTAAGTACGTATATTTAGGCACAGGTACACGTAAGTACAGCTATCATACACAATGTAAATGACATAGGATAACCCAGTGTCTGTTGAATTTGAATTTGATAATGACTATTATTATTTTTATGCAAGTCAAATAAGAATTTTCCTGGATACATTCCTAGCCATTCTACACAAGATTGGGTTTAATATGAGGGGCGAACAGGTCCAGTTCCTTGGATCAAGAGCCACCTCGCCATCAAGGGACCTCCCTCAAGGGGAACCAGCAGCTGCTGTAGCATCTGTGAAACTGTTAAAGAAAGTTATTCAAGCAATAGTACAAATAGGTACAATGACTACTGGGGTACTGATGGGGTTGTAATATAGCACATTGTGTATACTTATAAAGCACATTATGTACATATAAAGCACACTGTACATATATATTGTGTAATATAGCACATTGAACATATATAGCACAGGGTACATACATAGCACATTGTGTACACATAGCACCTCCCATTCTTTACTTCTTGTTGCCACAGAAGTGTGTATATATGTTGATGTGGCCCATACTGGCCAAAATGACCAACTGTGGCCCTCATCCTCACTATATCATAAATCTTACACAATTTTCTCTTTTAACAACATTTTCATACTCAATTAGTCACCAAGATATTCAATAATTATATAAATGCAGCTAGTTAGTTTAATATCTTTTATTATGCACCCTATACCCTTGGTGTGGGCAGTGGGCAAAGATTACAGAAGATTACAGACACATAATGGGTCCAGGGACTGTACCTCAGCATTACAGAGGCACATAATTGGTCCAAGGACTGGGTCATAAAGTTCTGATAGCTAAACAAGTTACAATGGTAATGAACAATGTATTTACAAGTTTATATCTAGTTACAATCATGAGTTTTTTTATACAGACATGAATTAAGTAAAAAAAAAAATTTACAAAAGCATTATCTTATATTTTAGCAAGGTACGCTTGTAATAAAAAAAAGCAAATACAGTGGAACCTCAAAAATCGAACTGCTCCCAACACAACCAATTATGTAAGTGTATTTTTGCAAGTGCTTTTATAAGTATTTTTGAGGGTCTGAAATGGACTAATCTAATTTACATTATTCCTGATGGGAATAAATTAATTCGGTAAAGGCACTCGAACAGCCTTCTGGACTGAAGAAAGTTCGATATTTGAGGTTCCACTGTATGCAGCTAGTATAGGTAAATAACTATTTAAGGCACAAGAATTTCTAATTGCAGTGTGTGTGTTACACTAGCCATAAACACCACCACCTCCCTCTTTTACTGTAACCACAGTTTCATCCACAGTTTACTTAGAAATGGTAAGAGTTTCATGCCTGTCTTCTTGGCACCTTCAGCATTACTTTAATTCCATTTGGGTGCCATTATTAATATCCAGAAGCAAAGTAAGGTTATGATATGAATGAAAATAGAGAGGGGACAACCACAGAGATTATCATGTGGTACGTGTCCAGCGACTGTCGACTAGTTTGTTTACACCAAGCAGCGATGCTTGGTCTACCCCACACCAAAGCAATGGTCATGCCAAGGGATGGAAGGACACTCCAGAAGGTAATGTGCTCCACTAATTCCACCTTGACATGCCTTAGTGGTAATGGCATGCAACTATTGCAAATAAAAAACTAAATTAAAATCACAGGATAGGCTTAAGTAGTCTAAGTACATGTATTAGGATTGGTCTGCCTGAAATGCCCCAGCATGATAGTGGCTTTCTTTGTACCAAGAAATTATAAAATGTAATTACACACATTGTAACCTTTGCAAAGAAATAAATTTTGTATTTGTATTGAGAATGTGAGATATGATGGTGAGACTTACAGTTGTCTACAGTATTATGTACTATTTTGTATAGGGGTATGCCATTTAAATGTCAAATCATTAAATGGTGTGAAGCAGGTAGTTAAAATGGGTGACATCAGTAAGCAAGAACCACCCCACCTGAAGCCATATGACCAAACCTTCATTTTTTTTATTCAGCACAGGCATCCAGAGTTCACTGTACACCAGAGGAGATAAGCATCCGTTGGAACTCCCGTGTACTTATATTTTTAAACTGCCATTTGGAAAGTCATTCCAATTTTTCTTTGCATCTCACCTATCAGACCATTTTGCTGAATGAGAGGAACAGTGTCATACACAGTACATGACTTACAGACCTATGAGAATACTCCTTCAGAGATCGATCTTAAAATTTATACTGACCCCATAATATCAAGTCACAGACCAGTATAAACCAGACCAGGGAATCTGAAAATCGTTAAAGCAAACTTGCAAGAGTACTATTAAAAAAAAAAAAACAGATTATGACCCATTTAATACCACTAGCGAACTGAAGAATGAGTTTCAGAAAAGGATTACTGTGGTCACCAGCAATGCCCCTTCATCATCATCAATCCCCCCCTCTCTCTCTCTCTCTCTCTCCCTCCCCTCTCCTCCCCCCTCTCTCCCCCCCCTCTCTCTCTCCCTCCCCCCCTCTCTCTCTCTCCCCCCCCCCCTCTCTCTCTCTCCCCCCCCCCCCCTCTCTCTCCCCTCCTCTCTCTCTCCCCCCCCCCTCTCTCTCCCCCCCCTCTCTCTCCCCCTCTCTCTCTCCCCCCCTCTCTCTCTCTCCCCCCCCTCTCTCTCTCTCCCCCCCCTCTCTCTCTCTCTCTCCCCCCCTCTCTCTCCCCCCCCCTCTCTCTCTCTCTCTCCCCCCCTCTCTCTCTCCCCTCTCTCTCTCTCTCTCCCCTCTCTCTCTCTCTCTCCTCCTCTCTCTCTCTCTCTCCTCCTCCCCCCCCACCAACGACCAAAAAGGTGACCGCTTCCCTGAAAAATTACCCTTGTGGGTTTAGCGCTTAGTTATGATTGTAACAATAATAATTCCCTGAAAATCAAATGTCAGTTAAGGCAGCTCAAGGAAAGAAAATGATGATCGAGTACCACAAATTATTGTATCTGAATACACCGACTAGCTATTGAAACACTTAAGTGGTACTGCTTCAAATCATATTTTCTTCAGTAAAGTCAGAAACTAAGAAAAAATAATAGATCATGGGTGAAGGCCTTCAGTGAAGACAAGAACCTCACCAGGATCACTATTATTACTATTATAATCAAAAAGAAGACCAGGACCACTAGTGAATGCCACAATGGACTACTGGGCAACTTGATGTCTACCACAGTTCTGGTCTATCCTACTTTTTAAATTGGTAATATGAGCACTAAGGTTTTTCCCTGGGCCAGAAAATACTCCCTATACACCTCGCTAATTAAGCCAGGTTACCACTTATGTGTAATAATTAATTTTAAATTGTGATTACAGTGGACCCCCGGTTTACCATATTTCATTCCAGAAGTATGTTCAGGTGCTAGTACTGAACGAATTTGTTCCCATAAGGAATATTGTGAAGTAGATTAGTCCATTTCAGACCCCCAAACATACACATACAAACGCACTTACATAAATACACTTACATAATTGCATTGGGAGCTGATCGTAAAGCGGGGGTCCACTATCTGTAAAGTTCTACTGTGAAACTTGGGTTTGTATGATTCTGGCTTACCTCAAAACATATCCCCATTACTTACATTAAGCATAACCTGTTATTTTTGGTATTAATTTTCCACTTTGATTTATACTAAGGGCACAGGGTGAACTGAGAAATCCTAACCCACCACAGATTTAAATGGGAGACCTACCATTCTTTGCCCAGGACACACAGAGGTAGAAGTCTCTCCTGATTTTCAATCTTCCAATAACTGGGACTTTTCTGCTGACCCCAAAGTCTGGTCTCAGATCAGACCTTAAAATTGAGTACAACAATTTAAGAAACAGAGAATGTAAGATTTGCCTCATAGAATTCTAAGTACAGGCTTACAAAATTTGATACAGTGCCAGAGAAAGACAGTGACATAGTATTTTTTTTTTAATCCACTGACCATCTCTCACCAAGGCACGGCGACCCGAAAAAGAAGAAACAAAAGCTTTTCTCCTTTTTTTACATTTAGTAACTGATACAGGAGAAAGGGTTACTAGCCCCTTGCTCCCAGCATTACAGTAATATATAGGTCCTTACAAATACACTTTCTTCACAAAGCACAAATAAAACACTCATTAAAAACAATATACAGTAGTATATTGAAAAATTTAACATGTAAGGTCCAAATTTCTACAGACATCCAGAAGTATTTAAATTATTGTGATGAATTGCAGCACTCTTTCAAAAAAATAACAAAATTAATATTGTATACACAACAGGAAAATAATGGCAAAAATTAAATTTTCAGAAAATTTTAATTACTGGTCATTGCAAAAATTTACTTTGCTCGAGGATAATTTACAAAAATAGTCTGAAAGATCCTCTAAGCAAGTCTGTCCAACAGTGTGAACACTATCAGACTGTTGGATGATAATTAAGAGGAACTTTTGGCTGCACTCACCCAAGTGTACTCAAGTGTGTTTGCAGGGATCACTCATTAGCCTCTTATTAAACTATGATCAGCAGCATCATTAGTGTCTGGTCTCTTAGGTCCCATCATACATGCAAGATCTTGAAACTATGTTTTTTCCCCATGCTTAGCCTGAATATTTGATACCAGCTATTGCTGCAATTCATTTGCTTACAGTACTTTGCAGTATATACTACAGAATATTGGTTTCATCCATGGTATTCAGAAATTCTGCATTATAAACTATGCAGTCCATTTTGCCAAAAACATTGTAATATTTGGTTAATGTGCAAGTTGTTGTGCCTTCTGGGCTGCTTCTTTGATGTCACCAACCATGTAGAACGCTGCTTCTGGAAGATGGTCGTAATTTCCAGACAAAATTTCTTTGAAGCTCTGGAAGTAAGAGAAATGGTACAGGTACTGTACATGGCAATCCACTTAAAAATGAACACAGCTAAAGACTTTTGCTATAACACAGCCTGTTTCTTACTAATTCAATGTCCTAAAGATTGAAATACGTACATTCACTCACTCCGTAGCTGTATTTTCAAGAGTGCACAGATATAAACCATACCAAGGGTGGGGATTGAACTCATGGTGAGCGAATTTTAAAACTCCAGGAGTTTCATGACTCGCTCACCACAAGTTCAGTCCCCGCCCATGGTGTGGTTTGCTTGAAATTGTCATTACGATTTCGTGAATATATGCAGGCATGACAATTCCCACTATCAAAATTCGAATCACACTTTCTTTTTAAAAAACTGGTCATCTCCTACCTAGGTAGTGACCCAAAAAAGAAAGACTTTCACCATTATTCACATTATCACTGTCCTGCCAGAGGTGTGCAGATACAACAGCTCAGATGTCCCTCCAAACAACAAATATCCCAAACCCCCTTTAGACTGCAGGTACGTATTGTACTTCCCACCTCCAGGACTCAAGTCTGACTAACCACTTTCCCTGAATCCCTTCACACTCCATGAGCTCAACAGGTCCCAAAAATCATTTGCCTCAACTCACTCCTCTCTGACATGTTAACATACTCACACACACATGCCTGCTGTCTGTCTAAGCCCCTTACACACACAACCTTCTTTACCACCTTCTCCATTCTTTCCAAATCTGATCTGGACCTAATATACTGTACATTATAAACATTCTTTCTTTCTTTCAACACACCGGCCATATCCCACCAAGGTGGGGTGGCCCAAAAGGAAAAACGAAAGTTTCTCCTTTTACATTTAGTAATACATGTATATACAGGAGAAGGGGTTACTAGCCCATTGCTCCTGGCATTTTAGTCACCTCTTACAACACGCATGGCTTATGGAGGAAGAATTCTGTTCCACTTCTCCATGTAAGTAAGAGGAAATAAACAAGAACAAGAACTAGTAAGAAAATAGAAGAAAACCCAAAGGGGTGAGTATATATATGCTTGTACATGTATGTGATTTTGGCAGTTTGGAGGGATATGTTGTGTATCTTTATATGTGTATGCTTCTAAACTTATATTCTGAGCACCTCTGCAAAAACAGTGATAATGTGCGAGTGTGGTGAAAGTGTTGAATGATGATGAAAGTATTTTCTTTTTGGGGATTTTCTTTCTTTTTTGGGTCACCCTGCCTCGGTGGGAGACGGCCGACTTGTTGGAAAAAAAAAAAAAAAAACCATGTATGCGTAGTGTGACCTAAGTGTAAATAGAAGTAGCAAGACGTACCTGAAACCTTGCATGTTTATGAGACAGAAAAATGGACACCAGCAATCCTACCATCATTATAAACATATCAAACCTTTAAGAACCAATGAAAATTAATGATAATCAGATAACATTCAGTAATACTACTCATTATTTATGTAGATTGAACATCAGACTGAAAGGAGGGAATATGAAAGAAGTGGATGTATCAAGATATCTGGGAGTGAACATGTCAGCAGATAAATCAGTGAAAAATAAGGTAAACCATAGATGCATAAATTATTACCTCATTCATTATCTCAATGAATTTAATAAAAAATAGTTATTTCTACATGATGAACATGCCAAAGCCACTTGTATGCATAGCATTACGGGCTGGCTTAAAATTAACTTAAGATTAACTAAGCAATGATGTAATCAGTGATAAAACATTATTGTAAACAAATAACAATAAAGCACAAATGAGTATTACAAAGACAGGTCATATGGTTGCATGCATTGTTGTACATTCAGTAGAATGGAGTATTCCGTTAGGTAGTGTATTTAAATAATAACAAAGTTAGATTGGGTCTTAGGTTTAACATTTATGTGATATAATTGTGAGAAACATTTAAGATATACAATTTATAAGATTCAGTTATTCAGTATGTATTTGGTTTTGGGCGAGTAAGTGATCTTTGAGAAGAGACTTTAATTTATAAACAGGTAGTGTTCCTTTTATATTTACAGGTAATGAATTCCAGATTTTAGGGCCTTTTATGTGCATTGAGTTTTTGCATAGCGTGAGATGGACACGAGAAACATCAAAGAGTGATCTGTGCCTTGTGTTATGGTCATGTGTTCTGTTGAGGTTGGCAAGGAGATGTTTGAGGGGAGGGTTAATATCAGAGTTAAGTGTTCTATGTATGTAATAGGTGCAGTAATAAGTATGGATGTTTTATATGGTGAGTAGGTTTAGTGTACTGAATATTGGTGGAGTGTGGTGCCTGTAGTGGGAATTTGTTATCATTCTGACTGCAGCCTTTTGTTGGGTAATTAGTGGTCTGAGATGGTTAATTGTTGTTGAGCCCCATGCACAAATTCCATAGGTGAGATAGGGGTAAATAAGAGAGTGATATAGGGCCAGGAGGGCTGACTGTGGAACATGGTACCGTATCTTCGATAATATGCCTACGGTCTTGGAAATTTTCTTAGAAATTTGTTGTATATGTGTATGAAATTTGAGTCTTATCAAGGTGGATTCCTAAGAATTTTCCCTCGGTTAGCTTTGTGATAGGTGATCCATTTATTATTATGTTAAGAGGGACATATGTAGCTCTGTTACCAAACTGAATGAAGTAGGTTTTGTCAATGTTTAGTGTAAGTTTGTTAGTCCTCATCCAGGTAGATATTTTCTGTAATTCGGTATTAACAGTATTGGCTAGTGTGACTGGGCTCAGGTGAGAGAAGACGTATGTAATGTCATCTGCAAATAGTGTGGGTTTGAGTAATTGCGAAGCATTTGGTAGGTCATTTATGTATAGGAGAAAGAAGAGGGAAGGACACTTCCCTGTGGGACACCAACTGTAATTGGTTGTGCGGAAGAGTTTGCCCCATTTGCGTGCACATATTGGCTTCTGTTGCTGAGCTATGACTTGAGGTAGTTGAGGGAGTGCCCTCTTATACCATAGTGTGAATTTTATGTGGAGCAAGTCATGGTCAACTGTATCAAAAGCTTTACGTAAGTCAATGAAGATCCCCAGTGGGACTTCTTTTTTCTCTATTGCAGTGTATATATGTTCTAGCATGTGTATAATAGCATCATTAGTATTTTTATTAGGCCTGAATCCAAATTGGCAGGGGTTGAGTATGTTTTGGGAGATGAGGTAGGAGTAGATTCATTTATGAATTAATTTTTCGAAGATTTTTGAGAGAGGGTGTAAGTTGGATATTGGCCTATAGTTATTCAACTCTGTTTGGTCTCCTCCTTTATGGATCAGGGTGACCCTTGCTATTTTGAGAACTGTAGGGAAGGTGGAGGATTCAATGGATTTGTTAAAGAGTGTTGCAATGATTGGTGATAGCACTTGTGACACTTTTTTGTATATAAAGGGTGGTAAGGTATTTAAATCTCCTGCCTTGTTTTTTAGTGCATTGATAATAAGGGAGACTTCGTATGGGTTAGTCGGAGCTAGGAACAGTGTGTTCGGGTAGTTGCCAGTGAGGTAGTCATTTGGTAGGGTGTCTGAGCTTGGGATTTTATTGGCAAGGTTTTGTCCTATAGTGGAGAAGAAATCATTGAGTCTGTTTGCTGTTTCTGTTGGTGGGAGTTGGGGTTCATCTGATTTTGCTAATTTTATTTCGCTATTTCGTGATATCTTTTTTGTTCCTAGAATATCTGATAGGGTTTTCCAGGTCTTTTTTATATCATCTCGTAAGTTGGATAATCTGTTCTCATAATACAATTTTTTTGACCTTATCAGGCTGGTTAGGATTGACGAGTAACGTTTTGTTTGGTCTGGTTAGAGACTGTATATACATATATACAGTGGACCCCCGCATACCGATTTTAATCCGTGCAAGAGGGCTCATTGGTATGCGAAATAATCGGTATGCGAATGAATTTTCCCCATAAGAAATAATGGAAATCAAATTAATCCGTGCAAGACACCCAAAAGTATGAAAAAAATTTTTTTACCACGTGAAATATACATTTTCCTACACACAAAGAGAAGGATACATGCACAATAGTAGAGTAGTACATGCACAGTATATATTGTGCATGTACTAGTCTACTAAATGAAATAAATGACACTTACCTTTATTGAAGATGCAGCAATGACTGATGAGACGCTGTGTCCTGGGAGTGCCTTTTCCTCCTGAGTACTGTAGGTCCTGTTTGGTATTTTCTTCCAGAACATGCCTTATCACACTGTGTATGTCACTAGGATTCTTAAATCTCTCAAACCAACCTTTGCTGGCTTTAAATTCACCAATATGAGCACTAGTTCCAGGCATTTTTCCCTGTTCACCTGGGTGTTAGTCGACTGGTGTGGGTTGCATCCTGGGAGACAAGATTAAGGACCCCAATGGAAATAAGTTACAGTCTTCGATGACACTGACTTTTTTGGGTTATCCTGGGTGGCAAATCCTCTGGGGTTAATTGTTTCTTGGTATTCTCAATAAGCCACACCAACAACAGTGCTACAGCAGCAGCAGACGATGCTACAGCAGCAGCAGACGATGCTACAGCAGCAGCAGCAGCTGACAGTGCTACAGCAGCAGCAGACGATGCTACAGCAGCAGCAGACGATGCTACAGCAGCAGCAGACGATGCTACAGCAGCAGCAGACGATGCTACAGCAGCAGCAGACGATGCTACAGCAGCAGCAGCAGACGATGCTACAGCAGCAGCAGCAGACGATGCTACAGCAGCAGCAGCAGCTGACAGTGCTACAGCAGCAGCAGACGATGCTACAGCAGCAGCAGACGATGCTACAGCAGCAGCAGACGATGCTACAGCAGCAGCAGACGATGCTACAGCAGCAGCAGACGATGCTACAGCAGCAGCAGACGACGCTACAGCAGCAGCAGACGACGCTACAGCAGCAGCAGCAGCTGACAGTGCTACAGCAGCAGCAGACGATGCTACAGCAGCAGCAGACGATGCTACAGCAGCAGCAGACGATGCTACAGCAGCAGCAGACGATGCTACAGCAGCAGCAGACGATGCTACAGCAGCAGCAGCAGACGATGCTACAGCAGCAGCAGACGATGCTACAGCAGCAGCAGACGATGCTACAGCAGCAGCAGACGATGCTACAGCAGCAGCAGACGATGCTACAGCAGCAGCAGACGATGCTACAGCAGCAGCAGACGATGCTACAGCAGCAGCAGACGATGCTACAGCAGCAGCAGACGATGCTACAGCAGCAGCAGATGATGCTACAGCAGCAGCAGCAGCTGACAGTGCAGCAGCAGCAGCTGTACCACCAATAGTAGCGATGGTTGATTGGGGTTTATTATACAACCTGGCCAGCTCGGAGACACGCACTCCACTTTCATACTTATCAATGATCGTTTTCTTCATCTCTATAGTAATTCTCACCCTTATTGCTGTAGGGTTGGCACTAGAAGCTTTCTTGGGGCCCATGGTCACTTATTTTCCAGATAAAATCACCAAAAACACTGTAATAATACGAAATGTTACGATTGTATGCTTGGATGCTACAGCGGAGGCTGGCTGGTAAACAATGCCACCGGCGGAACATGTGAGGCTGGCTAAGGCGCACATTGGATGCGTCTCTGACGAATAGCGGTGAGCGGGTTTTTAAGCGGTATGCGAGGCAAAATTTTTGCGATTAAAGCAAGCGGTATGCGGATTAATCGTTATGTGATGCCAACGGTATGCAGGGGTCCACTGTATAAGCAATCAACTAGTTATTGCCTTATTAGGCTTAAGATAGGCTTAAATTTGCCCGAAATGCTCTGTATACTAAGGGACTTTCTGCATGCACACTTAAATGTCACCCATCTCTACAAACGTTGTATCATGCTGAAATTTTCTGAATTTGAATGACTGCAGTGACACTTCTTAAAGCTTTTGTAAAATATTTCAACTTCTAAGTCTCAACTCTATGCTTTTTCCTCACCTTAATTGTCTTTTCTAGAGAGACAAACTTCCCTTCGTATCCTGTGAAAACTTCAGCAACTTGGAACGGCTGAGACAAAAATTTCTGCACTTTCCGTGCTCTTGCTACAGTTAATTTGTCTTCCTCGGAGAGTTCATCCATGCCCAAAATAGCAATAATATCTTGTAGTGATTTATAATCCTGCAACAGAACAGTTAAAAAAAATTACTAAAATCTAAAGCTCTAGGAAATCCTTTATTCTACAACTTTCATATTTTTTCCAAGACATTTAAAAGCTATCCGTTAAACTGTATAACCTTCTAATCTTGAATTATTCTATAAAACTTTAATAATTTTTTTTGTAAATTTATCTTATCTACCCGTATAAGTCTACATCTTCAAGCTTCCCAGATTTTATGCAGTAGTTGCAATTCAGGCCTTAGGCAGATTTACTTTGCTCATTCAAATTCAAATTTTTATTTTTTCCCTACGGTACAGGATGTGGCATAATGGTAAATCTGCATAAAGCAATGGGAAGCCTGTACTGCATGTGTTACACACCTTTGTCAGTTTTTAATACACATTAGATAATCACACACACAAACTCATGTTGGCAATTTAATCATTACTTGTGTAAAAGAATACTGCGCATAGATAAGAGCTTTCCATATATGTATACTGCAACATTAAATGTCATCTAACTTTGTAAAAACCATATATGTATCTTGCAGAAATAAAATTATTATTCTTTCTACAAACCAGCCGTATCCCACTGAAGCAGGGTAGCCCAAAAAGAAAAACAAAAGTTTCTCTTTTTAACTTTAGTAATGTATACAGGAGAAGGGGTTACTGGCCCCATGCTCCTGGTATGGCTGTTATTATTATTATTATAGATACCTGAAGAATTTTTTGAACACCTCGAGCAGTGGAGTAATGCTCGATACCAATGATGTTTGGGTCCATAATTCTAGAAGAAGAATCCAAAGGGTCAACAGCAGGATAGATGCCCAGCTCGGCTATACCCCGGGAGAGCACGGTTGTAGCATCAAGATGTGCAAACGTGGTTGCTGGTGCAGGATCAGTTAAGTCATCAGCAGGCACATAAATAGCCTGAAACAAAAAAACTTTATTGTAAACCAAGAAAAGTATATTTTTTATGGTGCAAATAAAATACCAAGTACACAATTATAAATCAGTGGAAGCGATATGTAAATCTCCTTGATTAAACAATGGGGTACAGGTGGACCCTGTTTGTACGACTCTTAGGTTCGCAACCCTGTATGGTAAGTGAAAAATCACAGGTGGGTGTAAAAGACCATTTTTTTTCCATTATCAAATGTGTCTAACACCCGATATCACGTTTACACTATCATATATTAAGTTCTCAAGACAGCTAAAACAAAAAATAAAAGATAAAAATTATAAAAATGTAAAATAAATATACATTACATACAACAGTCACCCTGCCTTGGTGGGAGACGGCAGACTTGGGGGGGGGGGGGGGAACAATAGTTACCTTAAAATATGGTGCCAGTTGTTTCTTCCCTTATGCAACTGTTGTGCGAAAACAGCAGTAAAAGCATCGAAAATAATGAAAAATGGCTCAACTGAAAGCCAATGAAAATGTGGAACACCGAAAAGAGGATGATGTATATGCAGGGCCCCTCCTGTATTATTATTAATAATTAATAATCTACTGTACAACTATGATATAATTAATATTCTACTGTACAGCTATGACATAATTCTTAGTGTTAAGTAGTCTGTAAGCCAATAATGTTAAGTCGGCCCATAATGAATAAGCATAAAAAAGGCTCTCTTTGCATTGCAACCCATTATTGTAAATACAAAATCTCAATGTACTATTTGCAAAGACAAATAAATAAATAAAATAAATAAATAAATTTAGTATTATAATCATGGGGAAGCACTAACCCCTAATGGTTATTCAGTGCCTGGGGTATGGGACATAATCAGGCTTGATCCAAAGAATGGGGAAACTAGTTCCAGTTTCTTTGATATTCAGAAAATAATCAGTGGGGAAAGATATTACCTATTGGAAAGTGAAACATTTCCTACTGTGCTTAATGAAGCCTCTCACCTGGACTGAAGTAATAGATCCTTGCTTTGTAGTAGTAATTCTTTCTTGCATGTTGCCCATGTCAGTGGCTAGTGTTGGCTGGTAACCCACAGCTGAGGGTATGCGACCTAACAGAGCAGACACCTCAGAGCCAGCCTGGGTAAACCTGTTGAATGATAACTTAAGTAGAACAAAATTCCTGTTAGTTGCCCATCATGGTAGTACCTGTTAGGTAAATGGACACACTTGCAACTAATGTGACATTTTACTGTGGCAACGTTTTGATCTCCAGGAGTTTTGTCAAGCCATAACAGCTTGACAAAACTCCTGAAGAGTGAAACGTTGCCACAATAAAACGGTGCATTAATTGCACGTTTCCTTTTACCTAATACGTTGTTGGTACTTCTACCAACATTTTTACATCATGGTACCTGGAGCAGGTCATACACCCGTAACAAAAATACAGTTACTGTACTGAAAAGGATAAAAATTTTTTAATACTAAAATGAAAATTTAAAAACACATTCCTGACTTTCCCCTGAAGTCTTTTTTCATTGCCAAAAGCAATTTCCTTTTGAAAAAATAATTGAAACCATCATGATTTTTTCCCATACCTGAAAATATTTCAATGAAAAGGTAATCTTGCCCCTCTTACCCAAAAATACTCGGCAACTGTAAAGCCCGTGAGAGCTCACGAGCACGAGCACCCGGGGGGTCATTCATCTACCATACCCAGAGCACTGTAAAGTGGATACGCATTTTTGGGGGGGAAAACATTTCTTGAGTAATATTTTAAAGGGAGAATTAATTTATAAAATTTGGGTCACACTTATGAACTCCATATCTTTTTTTAACCGTGGTGTCTCCAATGAGGCGGGTGTCTGAAAAAAAAGAAACAAAATTTTTTTCATTTAGAAATTTATACAGGAGAAGGGGTTATAATGCTTGCCCCCAGTTGTTTTTTAGTCGCCTTTATGACACGCATGGCTTACACATTTTAAGGCTTCTTCTCCACTTTTTTTTATATAACATACTTATACAATTAAATTTTTTCCCCCATGGAGAAGTGGAACAGAATTTTTCCCCCATAAGCCATCATGTCATAAGAGGTGACTAAAATGCTGGGGGGCAAGGGGGTAGTAACCCCCTTTTCCTGTATTATTTCTAAATTTAAAAAGAAAACTCTCGTTTTTCTTTTTGGGCCCCCTGCTCGGTAGGATGCGCCCCGTGCGTTTAAAAGATTATTTATGTTCCCTTTCTCCTTAATATGTGGGGTACCTAAATTTATCATAAAAGCGATAACAGGAACCCCCCTTTCCTAAAATTGGGGTCCCAACCTTTGTGTTCCTTAATTAATGGCCAAGTCAGATGAAACACGTCACGGTTCTTATTGCAGGTTATTTTGTATTTTTCCGTCACAGTATTTGATTTGGAACAATATCAATTTTTTCTTTCTTTCGTACTTACCCCAAAATTTTATTTTATTTAAACTACATTTTTGTATAGCGTAAAGAAATAATTATTATTATTTTTATTATTATTTTTTTTTTTTTACACATGGCCGTTTCCCCACCAAGGCAGGGGGGGCCCAAAAAGAAAAACTTTCCCATCATTCCCCCATCACGTCTTCCCAAAAGGGGCTTTACATACATTTTTTAAACTGCAACTTTAAACCCCCTCCTTCAGAGTGCGGCACTGTACTTCCCATCTCCAGGACTCAAGCCCGGGCCTGCCGGTTTCCCTGAATCCCTTCATAAATGTTACTTTGCTCACACTCCAACAGCACGTAAAGTATTAAAAACCATTTGTCTCCATTCACTCCTATCAAACACGCTCACGCATGCCTGCTGGAAGTCCAAGCCCCTGCACACAAAACCTCCTTTTAAACCCCTCCCTCCAACCCTTCCTAGCCGACCCCTCCCCCGCCTTCCTTCCACTACAGACTGATACACTCTTGAAGTCATTCTGTTTCGCTCCATTCTCTCTACATGTCCGAACCACCTCAACAACCCTTCCTCAGCCCTCTGGAAAAACAGTTTTGGTAAATCCCGCACCTCTTCCTAACTTCCAAACTCGAATTCTCTGCATTATATTCACACCACACATTGCCCTCAGACATGACATCTCCACTGCCCCCAGCCTTCTCCCGCTGCAAACATTCATCACCCACGTTTTCCACACCATATAAGAGCTTTGGGTAAAACAAATACTCTCATACATTCCCCTCTTTGCCTCTAAGGACAAAGTTCTTTTTCTCCACAGACTCCTAAGTGCACCACTCACTCTTTTTCCCTCATCAATTCTTTGATTCAACCTCATCTTTCATAGACCCATCCGTGACACGTCCACTCCCAAATATCGAATACATTCACCTCCTCCATACTCTCTCCCCTCCAATCTGATATTCAATCTTTCATCACCTAATCTTTTTGTTATCCTCATAACCTTACTCTTTTTCCCGTATTCACCTTTAATTTTCTTCTTTTGCACACCCTTACCAAATTCATCCCCAATTTCTGCAGCTTCTCTTCAAATCTCCAAAAGACAGTGTCATCAGCAAAGAGCAGCTGTGACAACTCCCCTTTGTGTGTGATTCTTTATCTTTTAAATCCACGCCTCTTGCCAAGACCCTCGCATTTACTTCTCTTACAACCCCATCTATAAATATATTAAACAACCACGGTGACATCACACATCCTTGTCTAAGGCCTACTTTTACTGGGAAAAAATTTCCCTCTTTCCTACATACTCTAACTTGAGCCTCACTATACCTCATAAAAACTCTTCACTGCTTTCAGTAACCTACCTCCTACACCATACACTTGCAACATTCTGCCACATTGCCCCCTATCCACCCTGTCATACGCCTTTTCCAAATCCATAAATGCCACAAGACCTCTTTAGCCTTATCTAAATACTGTTCACTTATATGTTTCACTGTAAACACCTGGTCCACACACCCCCTACCTTTCCTAAAGCCTCCTTGTTCATCTGCTATCCTATTCTCCGTCTTACTCTTAATTCTTTCAATTATAACTCTACCATACACTTTACCAGTACACTCAACAGACTTATCTCCCTATAATTTTTGCACTCTCTTTTATCCCCTTTGCCTTTATAACAAAGGAACTATGCATGCTTCTCTGCCAATCACTAGGTACCTTACCCTCTTCCATACATTTATAAATAATTGCACCAACCACTCCAAAACTATATCCCACCTGCTTTTAACATTTCTATCTTATCCCATCAATCCCGGCTGCCTTACCCCCTTTCATTTTACCTACTGCCTCACGAACTTCCCTCACACTCACAACTGGCTCTTCCTCACTCCTACAAGATGTTATTCCTCCTTGCCCTATACACGAAATCACAGCTTCCTATCTGTCATCAACATTTAACAATTCCTCAAAATATTCCCTCCATCTTCCCAATACCTCTAACTCTCCATTTAAAACTCTTCTCTCTATTTTTAACTGACAAATCCATTTGTTCTCTAGGCTTTCTTAACTTGTTAATCTCACTCCAAAACTTTTTTCTTATTTTCAACAAAATTTGTTGATAACATCTCACCCACTCTCTCATTTGCTCTCTTTTTACATTGCTTCACCACTCTCTTAACCTCTCTCTTTTCTCTCCATATACTCTTCCCTCCTTGCATCACTTCTACTTTGTAAAAACTTCTCATATGCTAACTTTTTCTCCCTTATACTCTTCTTTACATCATCATTCCACCAATCGCTCCTCTTCCCTCCTGCACCCCACTTTCCTGTAACCACAAACTTCTGCTGAACACTAACACTACATTTTTAAACCTACCCCATACCTCTTCGACCCCATTGCCTATGCTCCCCATTACCCCCTCTTTTCCTCCAATAGCTGTTTATATCTACCCTAACTGCCTCCTCTTTTAGTTTATAAACCTTCACCTCTCTCTTCCCTGTGCTTCTATTCTCCTTGTATCCCACCCTACCTTTTACTCTCAGTGTAGTTTACAACTAGAAAGTGATCTGATATATCTGGGGCCCCCCCCTCTATAAACATGTACATCCTGAAGTCTACTCAACAGTCTTTTATCTACCAATACATTAATCCAACAAACTATGTCATTTCGCCCTACATCATTCGTGTAAAACTTATTTATCCTTTTTTTCTTAAAATATGTATTACCTATAACTAAACCCCCTTTCTTACAAAGTTCAATCAAAGGGCTTCCCATTATCATTTACACCCGGCACCCCAAACTTACCTACCACACCCCCTCTAAATGTTTCTCCTACTTTAGCATTCAGGTCCCCTACCACAATTACTCTCCCCACTTGGTTCAAAGGCTCCTATACATTCACTTAACATTTTCCCAAAATCTCTCCTTCTCTCCTTCTGCATTCCTCTCTTCTCCAGGTGCATACACCCCTTATTATGACCCACTTCTCGCATCCAACCTTTAAATTTAATCCACATAATTCTTGAATTTAAAACATTTAATTTTTTTCTCTTTTCTCCTTCCATAACTGATAATTTAACATTACTTTCTAACCCCTTCCTTTGCTCTAACTCTCTCAGATACTCCAGATTTAATCCCATTTATTTTCCCCACCCGAAACTCTCCTACCCCCTTCAGCTTTGTTTTTCGCTTAGAGCCAGGACATCAACTTCTTTTCATTCATAACATCAGCAATCATCTGTTTCTTGTCATCCGCACTACATCCACGCACATTTAAGCATCCCAGTTTTATAAAGTTTTTCTTTTCTCTTTTTTAGTAAATGTATACAGGAGAAGGGGTTACTAGCCCATTGCTCCCGGCATTTTAGTCGCCTCATACGACACGCATGGCTTACGGAGGAAAGATTCTTTTCCACTTCCCCATGGACAATAGAAGAAATAAAAAAGAACAAGAGCTATTTAGAAAAAGGAGAAAAACCTAGATGTATGTATATATATATGCATGTGCGTGTCTGTGAAGTGTGACCAAAGTGTAAGTAGGAGTAGCAAGATATCCCTGTTATCTAGCGTGTTTATGAGACAGAAAAGGAAACCAGCAATCCTACCATCATGCAAAACAGTTACAGGTTTTTGTTTCACAGTCATCTGGCAGGACGGTAGTACTTCCCTGGGTGGTTGCTGTCTACCAATAATTATTATTATTGAGTTCAAAAACTTATGAACCCCTATCTGCCATACCCGTATATGATGGGACCTAGAGTATTCATGTTTATCTACACGACACTGATGCAATTTGTTTCTTACCTTAGAAGTCTCATCGGTGAGAGAAATGACACCAGACTCAATCATTTCGTGATAAAGATCATTGCCCTCTCGTGTTCTCTCGCCAACTCCAGCAAACACTGAGTAGCCACCATGAGCTTTGGCCACATTGTTGATAAGTTCCATAATAAGTACAGTCTTACCCACACCAGCCCCGCCAAACAATCCTGCAGATCACAAAATTGACAGTGTCATTCAGAGCAACTTGATCCACAAAGTAAAAGACCACATAATTTTTGCTACCTCTTACAGTCTTAGCAAATCCCAAACAACAAACCAAATTTGGGAATTTTTTTTTTAACACATCAGTCATCTCCCACCCAGGCAGGGTGACCCCCCTGCATTTAATAATTTATACAGGAGAAGGGGTTACTATCCCCTTGCTCCTGGCATTTTAGTCATTTCTTATGACACACAGGGCTTATGGAGGAAGGCTTCTTCTCCACTTCCCCATGGCATAAAGCAAAGCAGGCTTTGTATACAAAGATTTCATAAAAAATATTATTAGTTATTTAAATTTTTAAGAAAGAGCACTAGCTGTGAGACCCGCTTTATCCCCACACTGTGGTAACCTTCGATGAACTTTGACAAGGCACACGTACAAGAAAAATTGATTTTAAGATTAAGTGCACAACGTGTACTGCAAAACAACGATGATGAAAAAAAATAAGTAAATCAGCATTGTGATTAGCAACCTCTCTTGCATTATATCATGCTCAGATATGTACTTCCCATGCACAACTAATGCGTCTATATATCTGCAGTTTTGAACTGTACTATCGATGCCCCTCTGGCAAGACAGTGATGGAGCGAGTGATTGTTTCTTCTTGTTAGGGTCACCCTGGCTCTGTGGGAGATGGCCGATTTGTTAAAAAAAAAAATGTATTTCCAGTATATTCCCCCCCCCCATAGATTCTGCTTAATGTACATGAAATTAATGCTTTGCAAGAGAACTACAAGTAATTTTCTTTTTGTGTTCTGTATTTTTTGTGTGTACAAATTCCAGAACTATGCTAATTCTGGAATGCTCTAGGTTCTGGCATGTACTGATCAAAGAGGCTGGGCTATATAAGCATACTTTTTTTTAAACGATCAATTTTACAGGCTATGAGGCATCCCGTAGCTCGATCACTAGCAGACTCGGCTCACACACTGAGGTCCAGGGTTCGAATTTCCTCCGGTACGGCCGGAAAACATTAGGGACGTGTTTCCATAAGACACCTGCTGTCACTGTCCCTCTTCACCCATCAGTTTAAAATGGGTGCCTGGGTGTTAGTGGACTGGTGTGGGTTGCATCCTGGGACAAAACTGACCTAATTTGCCTGAAATGCTCAGCATAACAAGTGGCTTTCTATACAGTAGTATATCATTAATGTCAGCTAGGCCTGTATACCTTTTACATTTTTTTTTTTTTTTTTTCAACAAGTCGGTCATCTCCCACCGAGGCAGGGTGACCCAAAAAAAGAAAGAAAATCCCCAAAAAGAAAATACTTTCATCATCATTCAACACTTTCACCACACTCACACATTATCACTGCTTTTGCAGAGGTGCTCAGAATACAACAGCTTAGAAGCATATATGTATAAAGATACACAACATATCCCTCCAAACTGCCAATGTCCCAAACCCCTCCTTTAAAGTGCAGGCATTGTACTTCCCATTTCCAGGACTCAAGTCCGACTATATGAAAATAACCGGTTTCCCTGAATCCCTTCACTAAATATTACCCTGCTCACACTCCAACAGATCGTCAGGTCCCACATATCATTCGTCTCCATTCACTCCTATCTAACACGCTCATGCACGCTTGCTGGAAGTCCAAGCCCCTCGCCCACAAAACCTCCTTTACCCCCTCTTTCCAACCCTTTTGAGGACGACCCTACCCCTCCTTCCTTCCTCTATAGATTTATATGCTTTCCATGTCATTCTACTTTGATCCATTCTCTCTAAATGACCAACCACCTCAACAACCCCTCTTCAGCCCTCTGACTAATGTTTTTATTAACTCCACACCTTCTAATTTCCCACTCCGAATTTTCTGCATAACATTTACACCACACATTGCCCTTTTGACAGGAAAATCTCCACTGCCTCCACAACCATCTCCTCGCTGCTGCATTTACCACCCAAGCTTCACATCCATATAAGAGTGTTGGTACTACTATACTTTCATACATTCCCTTCTTTGCCTCCATAGATAACGTTTTTTGACTCCACATATACCTCAATGCACCACTCACCTTTTTTTCCCCTCATCAATTCTATGATTAACCTCATCCTTCATAAATCCATCCGCCGACACCAACTCCCAAGTATCTGAAAACATTCACTTCTTCCATACTCCTCCTCCCCAATTTGATATCCAATTTTTCTTTATCTAAATCATTTGATACCCTCATCACCTTACTCTTTTCTATGTTCACTTTCAACTTTCTACCTTTACACACATTCTCAAACTCATCCACTAACCTTTGCAATTTTTCTTTAGAATCTCCCATAAGCACAGTATCATCAGCAGAAAGTAACTGCCATTCCCATTTTGAATTTGATTCCCCATAATTTAATCCCACCCCTCTCCCGAACACCCTAGCATTTACTTCTTTTACAACCCCATCTATAAATATATTAACCATGGTGACATTACACATCCCTGTCATAGACCTACTTTTACCGGGAAGTATTCTCCCTCTCTTCTACATACCCTAACCTGAGCCTCACTATCCTCATAAAAGCTCTTTACAGCATTTAGTAACTTACCACCTATTCCATATACTTGCAACATCTGCCACATTGCTCCTCTATCCACTATCATATGCCTTTCCTAAATCCATAAATGCAATAAAAACTTCCCTACCTTTATCTAAATACTGTTCACATATATGCTTCAATGTAAACACTTGATCTACACATCCCCTACCCACTCTGAAGCCTCCTTGCTCATCCGCAATTCTACAGTCTGTCTTACCTCTAATTCTTTCAATTATAACCCTACCGTATACTTTTCCTGGTATACTCAGTAAATTTATTCCTCTATAATTTTTACAATCTCTTTTGTCCCTTTTCCCTTTATATAAAGGGAATATACATGCTCTCCGCCAATCCCTAGGTACCTTCCCCTCTTTCATACATTTATTAAACAAAAGTACCAACCACTCCAACACTATATCCCTCCCTGCTTTTAACATTTCTATCATGATCCTATCAGTTCCAGCTGCTTTACCCCCTTTCATTCTACGTAATGCCTCACATACCTCCACCACACTTACATTCTGCTCTTCTTCACTCCTAAAAGATGGTATACCTCCCTGGCCAGTGCATGAAATTACCGCCTTCCTTTCTTCCTCAACATTTAAAAGTTCCTCAAAATATTCTCGCCATCTACCTAATACCTCCCTCTCCCCATCTACTAACTCCCCTACTCTGTTTTTAACTGACAAATCCATACTTTCCCTAGGCTTTCTTAACTTGTTTAACTCGCTCCAAAATTTTTCTTATTTTCATTAAAATTTCTTGACAGTGCCTCTCCCACTCTTTCATCTGCTCTCCTTTTGCACTCTCTCACCACTCTCTTTACCTTTCTTTTACTCTCCATATACTCTGCTCTTCTTATAACACTTCTGCTTTGTAACATGTACATGTACATTGTACATGTACTTGTAGTAAATAAAGATATTATTATTATTATCATCCTACCTCAGCTCATTTCAAAGCCCCAGCCCTATCTAAGGTACATTACCACCTCCAGGATACCACCCACACCATTCAGCTAATACCCAGGTACCTACTTACTGGCTAATGCATATTATATACAAAGAAAAATTGCCTGAAGATAAAATTAACAACACAGCCTAATTAATATCTTACATTCATGGCCAAGACATGATTACGTATTAAGAATTAAAACTTGACATAACGAATCTCAGTTTAACACATTTCTGAAAAACAAGATGAAATCCACTGGATAAAATGTACTTTTCTTTAAATATTAAGGAGTATTGGACTCAAGTCCTGGATGTGAGAAGACAGTGCCTGCACTCTCAACAAGGGGTGGTGATATTTGCGGTCTGTAGTATCTATGTGCCTCTGGTAAGACAGTGATAGTATGAATTTCTGTACAAGCGTTACTTTTCCGGGTCACCCTGCCTTGGCGAGAGACAGCCAGTGTTAACAACAATCTGTAAACTGTGTGTGTACAGCACCATATTAGGTATACAGTAGATCAATTAGTGCTTTTTCTGCAAATTTTTTAAAAATATTCCTATTTAATGAAGAGTTGGTGAATCCCCTATTAGTCTGTTATATCGAAGATTTACCATTTCAAATGTTTTTGTTTTGGACTTCCAGCAAGCGTGCACGAGCGTATTTGATAGAAGTGAATGGAGACAAGTGGTTTTTAATACTAGACGTGCTGTTGGAGTGTGAGCAAAGTAACATTTACGAAGGGATTCAGGGAAACCGGCAGGCCGGACTTGAGTCCTGGAGATGGAAGTACAGTGTCTACACTCTGAAGGAGGGGTGTTAATGTTGCAGTTTTATAACTGTAGTGTAAAGCACCTCTCTGGCAAGACAGTGATGGAGTGAATGATGATGAAAGTTGTTCTTTTTCAGGCCACCCTGCCTTGGTGGGAATCAGCCGATGTGTTAATAATAATAATAATAAAAAAAATAAAATAAATGTTTTTGAACACTATCAAAACAAGAGATTATTTTTACCTATTTTTCCACCTTTGGAGTACGGTGCCAGCATGTCAACAACCTTTATTCCGGTGACCAAGATCTCCTGCTCAACGCTCATATCCTCAAACTTGGGAGCATTGGCATGAATGGCTGCGCGCTCGCTTGTGTGAAGAGGACCTCGTTCATCAATTGGTTCTCCTGTTAAAAATAAAATTTAAAAAATATAAACAATAATTTACTTTTGAAATAATATTCACAAGGAAAAGTATACTGAATATGAATATATTAAATATTGGGTATACTGATTTTTTTTTTCAACAAGTCAGCTGTCTCCCACAAAGGCAGGGTGACCCAAAAAGAAAAAATCCCCACCCAAAAAAATACTTTCATTATTCAACACTTTCACCTCACTCACACAAAATCACTGTCTTTGCAGAGGCACCCAGATACAACAGTTTAGAAGCATATATTACATACCCCTCCAAACTGCCAATATCCCAAACCCCTCCTATTCTATATATGTATATCTATGTATATTGAATATACACACAGAAAAAACTTTCAATCACTGTTGCTGCAAGTGCCAACTCCACAAGTAATGACTCCAAAAACACATCAACACAAGAGAGGAGGGACACTGCAGCAGGCCTACTGGCCTATACTTGGCAGGCCTTTCATAAACCCAAACCCACTAAAAAATATTCACCCAACCCATTATCAATGTTGTCCAAAGAATAGCTTTAATAACCCTATTAACTCAAGAGCAAGTCCCACTCAAATCTAACCCCTCTCACTCTTGTATTTATCTAGCCTATATATGAAGCTCCCCAAGGTTTTAGCTTCAATAACCCTACTAGGTAGTTTGTTCCACTCATTAACTGGCTACCATCTAGTTACCTCTAATTTTGTCTACCAGTAGATAATTGACAAAGATATATACAGTATTTCAAATGCCCTGGCATGATAGTGGCTTTCTTTGTACTGATCTTAACAAATCAAAATTGTAATTACACATTGTAAACTTTGCAAAGAAATAAAATCCTTATTCTTTATTCATGTTTACTCACAGACTCTTATACATTAATACAACTGCAACAGATATATTATTGTTATATGCAGATCCTGGTGGTGAATTTTGTAAAATAGACCTACAAAACCCCCCAAAACTTCAGACTAGCAAAAGACTATTTTTGCCTACCAATGACATTAATGATCCTGCCCAAGGTCGCTGGTCCCACTGGGATGGAGATGGGTCCTCCTGTGTCAGTCACTGACTGTCCACGGACAAGACCTTCAGTGCCATCCATGGCAATAGTCCGCACTGTGTTTCCTCCTGCAAAATCAGCACAGCAGTTAAAAGTTAAAATGTCTGTAGTACTATATAATTAAATCAATCGCTGAAACTTTCAACAACTGTATCAACAAAGATATGCTGCACATAAACCAAGCTATGAAATTCTCTACTGGACAAGAACAATAAGTGGGTAAGTAATAACACAATCGTAGTCTAAGATTTAAATGCAGTACAGGTGCTCCTAGACTTACAACAGGGTTACGGTCTGATGAAACCATCATAAGTCGAAAATATTCCAAGATGAATATGAATACATGTATATGATAAATAAGTAAATATAAATAACTACTGTCACTGAATGAGTAAATAAATCATTCTTCTTTCAACAAACCGGCCGTATCCCACCAAGGCAGGGTGGCCCAAAAAGAAAAACAAAAGTTTCTCATTTTAAATTTAGTAATTTGTACAGGAGAAGGGGTTACTAGCCCCTTGCTCCCGGCATTTTAGTCGCCTCTTACAACACGCATGGCTTACAGAGGAAGAATTCTGTTCCACTTCTCCATGGAGATAAGAGGAAATAAAAAAGAACAAGAATTAGAAAGAAAATAGAAGAAAACCCAGAGGGGTGTGTATATATATGCTTGTATGTGTATGTGTAGCGTGACCTAAGTGTAAGTAGAAGTAGCAAGACATACCTGAAATCTTGCATATTTATGAGACAGACAAAAGACACCAGCAATCCTACCATCATGTAAAACAATTACAGGCTTTCATTTTAAACTCACTTGGGAGGACGGTAGTACCTCCCTGGGTGGTTGCTGTTTACCAACCTACTACCTAGAAATAAATAATTACTATAAATACCAATATTGAAAAAAAATTAATAAATACAAGTTGCTGACTTTCTCACCTTCATGCTGGGTAATCATTTTAAATTTCATCTCCAAAGTAAATGCTTTCATACCATGGCAAAGTTGATATATCGTAAGTTGAGGAGCACCTGTATATGCCAGTTTGTTAATATGGCAGGTAAAAACCCTATCTAAGTGGGAGACAGCCAGTGTTAAAAAAGTAAAGATTTCTTCAATAAAGAGGAGGGAGGAGTTCATATGCAGTAACTTTTCCAGTGACTGTTAGCATCTACACTGGACAATTTCTAGACTAGGGAGCTGGTGCTGATGTATTGAGTGTCTGTGTGGAAGTGAAGGAAGATTAGTAAAAGAAATGTCCAAAAGAAGTTATCTGTAATTTACCTATGACTGGCTTCGGAAAGTGTTGACTCTCAGTACCTAGCGTAGGGCCAGACCAGGCTTTCATTACCTAGAGCTTACCAAGGTGCTGAGCCACTTCCAGAACGAGGCGAGGCTGTCTGTTTGGAACTTCAAGAGCATTAAGGATTGGAGGAAGTGTTCCCTTAAACTGTACATCTACTACAGCACCAATAACTGCTATGATGTTTCCCACGGATGAGGTCGAATCAACTGAAACAAAAATTTATAAGCACACATACATTGAGGATAATTTAGAAGGTAACAGTGAAGATAAGCATTCAAGATAGTATAGGCAGATCCCACTTGACAGCACTTCACTTTACGGAGTTTTGCTAATGTAGCAGTTTTCAATTACATATACCAATTCTTCATTTATTCAGACTTCCTACAATAAATATATTCACCACTATCAGCTAAAGATGAAAATATTTTAAGATAAGTAATGTATGTGTACTGTATATGCACTTTTTAGGCCTAACTTTGATCATTTAATATATGATAATGTTATCAGGCTTTTATATGCATTTGAAAGTGAAAAAAAATTATGCTTCACTTTTACAGCAGTAGCCTGGAACCTAACCTGCCGTATAAGAGTGGCCCTCCTGTACAGTTTCTCATTGTAATGCAGAAACAGAAAAGAATCACAAAAGCAATGCAAATTCACCTTGAGTGGTTGTTGCAGGAGCTACAGCAGCAACTGCTGCTACTGAACGAGGATCACCAGCAGAATGTTCAGCTTCTACACCAACTGTGGTTTCAGCAATATTTCTTGGTTCTGCTTCAAGAGTCTTCAGCACTGTTTTAGCAAGAGGTTCTGGTGCAGCTTTACCAGGAGAATCTTCTGGTTGTTTCAATAATGGGACATACTGCTTTATCAATGAATTGTAGACACGTTTCACAAGTGGGGTCTGGTTCTGATCCACAGCTGGTTTGGTGTCTGTTGCTTCTGGGACGGCTTTGGCGGCTGTTGCTTGTGGGACGGCTTTGGCGGCTGCTGCTTGTGGGACGGCTTTGGCGGCTGCTGCTTGTGGGACGGCTTTGGCGGCTGCTGCTTCGGGGACGGCTTTGGCGGCTGCTGCTTCTGAGACTGCTTTGGCTGCTGCTGCTTCAGGGATGGCTTTGGCGGCTGCTGCTTCAGGGACGGCTTTGGCGGCTGCTGCTTCAGGGACGGCTTTGGCGGCTGCTGCTTCAGGGACGGCTTTGGCGGCTGCTGCTTCAGGGACGGCTTTGGCGGCTGCTGCTTCAGGGACGGTTTTGGTGGCTGCTGCTTCAGGGATGGCTTTGGTGGCTGCTGCTTCAGGGATGGCTTTGGTGGCTGCTGCTTCAGGGATGGCTTTGGCGGCTGCTGCTTCAGGGACGGCTTTGGCGGCTGCTGCTTCAGGGACGGCTTTGGCGGCTGCTGCTTCAGGGACGGCTTTGGTGGCTGCTGCTTCAGGGACAGTTTTGGCGGCTGCTGTTTCAGGGACGGCTTTGGCGGCGGCTGCTTCAGGGATGGCTTTGGTGGCTGCTGCTTCAGGGAAGGCTTTGGCGGCGGCTGCTGCTTCAGGGACGGCTTTGGCAGTGGCTGCTTCAGGGACCGCTTTGGCAGCGGCTGCTTCAGGGACCACTTTGGAAGCGGCTGCTTCTTCACAGACGGTCCTGGGAGCTACTGCTTCAGGGACGGTCCTGTGGGCTGCTTCAGGGACGGTCCTGGGGGCTGCTGTTTCAGGGATGGTCCTGGGAGCTGCTGCTTCAGGGATGGTCCTGGGGGCTGCTGCTTCAGGTACAGCTTTAGTGTCTGCAGCTTCAGAAACAGATTTGGCAGCTGCAGCTTCAGAAACAGATTTGGCAGCTGCAGCTTCAGAAACAGATTTGGCAGCTGCAGCTTCAGAAACAGATTTGGCAGCTGCAGCTTCAGAAACAGATTTGGCAGCTGCAGCTTCAGAAACAGATCTAGCAGTTGCAGCTTCAGGGGTGGCTTTGGAAGCTGCGGCTTCAGGGACGGCTTTGGAAGCTGCAGCTTCAGGGACGGCTTTGGTGGCTGCTGCTTCAGGGGCAGCCTTGGCAGCTTCAGGAACAGATTTGGCAGCTGAAGTTTCAGGGGTGGCTTTGGCAGCTGCAGCTTCAGGGGTGGCTTTGGAAGCTGCAGCTTCAGGGGCAGCTTTGGCAGCTGTAGCTTCAGGGGCAGCTTTGGCAGTTGCAATTTCAGGGGTGACTTTGGCAGCTGCAGCTTCAGGAATGCCTCTGGCAAATGCAACTGGTTTGGCTGCTGAACCTTCAGCAACCAGTTCAGGTGCTGCAGTCCATTTAACAGTTACATCTTTTGCAGCTAGCTCTCCTGTTGAAGTTTCAGTAGACGATTTTGCTGTCACAGCTTCAGCGGATATTCTAGGTGTTGGTGTCCCTGTGGCGGACACAAATTTTTCTTCTGTATGAACTCCATCAGAATCAGACGAAGACGACGACGATGATGATACTTCAGCCACTGGTCTTATTATGTCTGGTTCAGCATGGATAACATCTTTCAGAGTTGCACCTTGAATCCCTACAGGCTTTTTAGCTTCTAGAGAATCAAGAGTATCAGTTTTGGAAGGTTTGACAGTTGATTGGGAGCCTGTTTCACCCTTCGATGTGGAACCAGCATTACCCTTCGAAGGGGAACCAGCGTTACCCTTCGAAGTGGAACCAGCGTTACCCTTCGAAGTGGAACCAGCGTTACCCTTCGAAGTGGAACTTACATTACCCTTCGAGCCTTGCACTGCAGAGAATGCTACATCTGCACTGACCGAGCTCGTCTCAGCATCCCATGCATCCTTCCATCCAGCAACTTTTGCTGCCGCCTTTTGAACTTCTGGAGACAGTATTCGTTTAGCTATAGCGAGTTGTTGGATTTTGTCTTTCTTCTTATCTAGCACTGATGCGGTGGTGTGAATTTGATGATTATGCAACAAAAGGGAAGAAGCAGAAATTGCAGGAATATAACCGGATGCTGCCAATGATCTTCCTGTCAAGTGACCCAGGGCTCTTCTTCCCAGTGTTGACATTGCTCGCACATGATGCTAAAAAGAGGAAAAATTGCATTTTAACTGAATATAAAGACCTATACAAAGTTAATGATAATAAAAACTTACCATGTTCAATTAATGAGAAATGAATGGCTGGTGAGTGTGCGATTATGATAGTTGCTAAATGCTAAAATACTGTACATAAACTGATATTCATGAATTAGTAATAAAATTTTGAATACAATACTGTTACTAATGTGCTATAGAAAGTGTGTATAAACGAGTTAATTGAGATACAATGTTGCACTTTGGCACAGATCACTCTTTGATGTTCCTCGTGTCCATCTCACGCTATGCAAAAACTCAATGCACATAAAAGGCCCAAAAATCTGGAATTCATTACCTGTGAATATAAAAGAAACACTATGTTTATAAATTCAAGTCTCTTCTTAAAAATCACTTACTCACCCATAACTAAATAAATACTGAATAATTGTATCTCAAATGTTTAACCTGTGACCCTATCAAATTTTTTTTTTAATTACATTACCTAACAGAATACTCCATTCTATTGAATGCTCAGCAACTCAGTAAATGACCATATGACCTGTCTTTGAAATACTCATTTGTGATTAATTGTTATTTGTTTACTATAATTTTTACCACTGATTATCTCTGCTTAGTTAATCTTAAGTTAATTTTAAGCCTGCCCATAATGCTTTGCATACAAGGGGCTTTTGGCATGTTACACTTAACCACTGTATTTCTTTGTACATCTATGTATCATGTCCAAATTAATAATAAAATAAATAAATATTATAAATAGAAAAACTGTACCATAACATAAAATTGTATCAATTGCATCTGCTAGAAAAATGACAGGATGGATAATGAGAACCTTCAAAACTAGGGAGGCCAAGCCCATGATGACACTCTTCAGGTCACTTGTTCTATCTAGGCTGGAATATTGCTGCACTCTAACAGCACCTTTCAAGGCAGGTGAAATTGCTGACCTAGAAAATGTACAGAGAACCTTCACTGCGCGCATAATGGAGATAAAACACCTCAATTACTGGGAGCGCTTGAGGTTCCTAAAACTGTATTCCCTGGAACGCAGGAGGGAGAGATACATGATTATATACTCCTGGAAAATCCTAGAGGGACTAGTACCGAACTTGCACACGAAAATCACTCACTATGAAAGCAAAAGACTTGGCAGAGAATGCAACATCCCCCCAATGAAAAGCAGGGGTGTCACTAGCACGTTAAGAGACCATACAATAAGTGTCAGGGGCCCGAGACTGTTCAACTGCCTCCCAGCATACATAAGGGGGATTACCAACAGACCCCTGGCAGTCTTCAAGCTGGCACTGGACAAGCACCTAAAGTCGGTTCCTGACCAGCCGGGCTGTGGCTCGTACGTTGGTTTGCGTGCAGCCAACAGCAACAGCCTGGTTGATCAGGCTCTGATCCACCAGGAGGCCTGGTCACAGACCGGGCCGCGGGGGCGTTGACCCCCGGAACTCTCTCCAGGTAAACTCCAGGTACTCCAGGTACATAAGCTCTCTCGTGGCCCTCCTACTTCTGTTCTCCTCCCCCCCCCCCTTAATCCCAGCTCTCTCAGTCCTCATTTTCCCTAACCTCCTCCATCTCCTCTTCTCTTCTCTCCTCCCCTCCATCTCCTCTTTCAGTCCTCCACCACCACCACCACCACCTCCTCCACAACTTTCTCCTCCTCCTCCATAACCACCACCTCCCTCCATAACCTCCTCCCCTACCACCTCCTCCCCTACCACCTCCTCCTCCACCACCTCCTCCTCCACAACCTCCTCCTCCACCAACCTCCTCCTCCACAACCTCCTCCTCCAAACCTCCTCCTCCACAACCTCCTCCTCCACAACCTCCTCCTCCACAACCTCCTCCTCCACAACCTCCTCCTCCACAACCTCCTCCTCCACAACCTCCTCCTCCACAACCTCCTCCTCCACAACCTCCTCCTCCACAACCTCTCCTCCACAACCTCCTCCTCCACAACCTCCTCCTCCACAACCTCCTCCTCCACAACTCCTCCTCCACAACCTCCTCCTCCACAACCTCCTCCTCCACAACCTCCTCTCACAACCTCCTCCTCCACAACCTCCTCCTCCAAACCTCCTCCTCCACAACCTCCTCCTCCACCAACCTCCTCCTCCACAACCTCCTCCTCCACAACCTCCTCCTCCACACACCTCCTCCTCCACAACCTCCTCCTCCACAACCTCCTCCTCCTCCACCACCACCACCTTCCTTCCTTCCTTCACACAGACTATATTTATCTTGATAAACCGCTCATGTTGCTGAGAGAAGAGGAAGCCTCACACCAGTATTATTCCCGACCTCTTTGAGGTTTCTCATCCTCTTCCTCGTATCGCCCAACGGAAACCTTCATACTGTTTCACGAAAGGAACCCCCTGATTATATCGTGTTATCCTAGGTACATAATTTACACGTTACTATGCAAGACAATTGTAAAAAATCTAACATGATGAACCTGTTTGTCAGGCAGCCGGATCAAGTTTACCCGTTTGCCAGGCAGCCGGAATAATAAAGTTTAAGATTATTTGCAGGGCACTTGAGTAGCACCAATTCAAAGGTTAGAACTTCATAAGTTACATAAACATATAAAAACGTACATCTAACCACAGCAAAATAATCAAATAAATAAACGAACACGACACGTCTGGCAGCGCGGTTCAATATTTGGAGGCTATCCGCTGCCAGCACTCAGACTTTTATTATTATTAATAATAATAATAAATAATAATAATTATAATATATAATAATATAATAATAATAATAATAATAATAAAATAATTAATAATAAAATAATAATATAATATAATAATAAAATAATAATAATAATAATAATAATAATGATAATCATAATAATAATAATAATAATATAACAATAATAAAATAAAATAATAATAATAATAATAATAATAACAAAATAATAATAATAATAATAATAATAATAATAATAATTAATTTTTACAAGGACCCTAATGGAAAAAAATCACATACTTTTTTGGGTTATTCTAAGTAATTTACAATTTTACTACAATAATAATAATTTGCGTAACTGTGTAGCTGTACCTAAATAAACTTACAACTTATACGGACTTTAAATTTACAAAAAAATACTTTAAACAATTTCATACAAGAACAACTCCAATTCTTTGGATCAGAAGCCTTCACCGACATCAAGGCTTCCTTCTTCAAGGGTTCAATTATACAGGATCGTATACTTTAATTATATTAATACGATACACTTAATTTATTTTACTGTATCTAATATTAAAGGTTATTAGGTATCACAAAGGCCCCAAATGCTAAATTCTTTTTAGGTTGTCTAATGTAATTTATACATTACATTTTTTCCAAGATTACCTTTGTAACTTGCCATGATTGTGACCAGATCTACCTGGAGTTCAATACCTTTGTAACTAGCTCAGCTATCATAACTTAGGGGTCAAGTCCCTTGACCTATTATGTACCTCTGTAATCTATGGACTACCGCCCACAGGATGGTATGGGGTGCATAATATATTAAACTAAACTAACCAAGATTAATGGACTGATTACATCATTAATTACGCTACCATTCCTACTGCCTACAATACATTCATTCTCCTCAGTATATGACTGATGAAACTTACAGCATAGGCGACACGTTTCAATAATATACCCAACTGTTGAACATGCACCTTAGCAAGTTTATTTTGGTACATGCACACAAATGCAGTAAGTTTATTCAGGTATACATAAATACAGTTACATAGATCATCATACATAGCATGTGTGTGTAAAGAACCTGGGATAACCCAAAAAAGTCAGACAGTGACTTATTTCCAATGGGGTCCTTTACACAAATTATCAATGGAAATAAGTCACTGACTTTTTTTTGGGTTACCCCAGGTTCTTTACACATATGCTGATATGCAAAACAACCACTCTGAAAGAATAGAGAAATTCCAAGCGCTTTCGTGACTACTCACATTATCAAGGAACATAGTTCCTTGATGATGTGAGTAGTCACGAAAGCGCTTGGAATTTCTCTATTCTTTCAGAGTGGTTGTTTTGCATATTCTGAAATCACCTGTTTACTGTGATCTTATTGCATATGCTGATATGTATGATAATCTATGTAACTGTAATTATACATAGGATGCTTCACTTTCATAGTTCCTTGATAATGCGAGTAGTCACGAAAGCGCTTGGAATTTCTCTATTCTTTCAGAGTGGTTGTTTTGTATAGTACCATATGTGTAAATAACCTAGGATAATCCCCCCCCCCCAAAAAAAAAAAAGTCAAGTGACTTATTTCCACTTAGATCTTAGTCATTTTTTTACTGTTGCAAGAGATCTCATACTGTAACATCAATATTTTACCCAATGAAGGAATGTCGGCTAGAAAAGTCGTGTAGCAGGTTTGTGTCTCAAAGACTTGTAACTGGATATGTCTTGAAGCCAACACATCCATGGCAGGCGCCTTCATGCCGGTGAAGGGATTTTAATAACTATTTAGGTGCAGGTACACGTAAGTAATTGTGTAAATTACCCAGGATAACCCCAAAAAAACTGAGTTTTCCGTTGAGCTACCCTCCCTTTCCTTGGATCGAATGTACCTGACATTCTATCAACCCCTATGAGTTTAGCGTTCCAATAATGAAATTATTACTATTACATTCAAGGGGAGTGCTAAACTCTAAGGGCCCATATAGAGCCTGGAAGGGGGATTATGGGAGGCAATCTGTTAGACTCGAGGGGAAAAAATTGCTACCTTCAATTCCTTGGAACAAAAGCCGTTATTCCCGACATCAGGGAACGTCCCTAGTAAATAAGAACATACTTGAATAATTATTAGTTACATTTATTAATATAGATACATAAAGATATTTTACATCGTCTTACACGTGTCTTTCCTTTACAGTTGTCCTTGTTCTTGGTGAAGGGTTCTTGATCTGAGAAATTAGAGGTATCCTCCCCTTCCTCAGATCAAACCTGCTTAATGCCACTATTTCTCAGGCACTGCATGACCCTCATGGGTTTAGCACTTCTCCCTTGAAAGTCCTAAAAATCTCATATGATTAAGATTCATCATCAGTCTTGAAATTACCCAGTCAGCGCTAATTAAATTTTTAACTGTTATTTACACTAATAATACTTTCATTTATTATAAATCTGACAATTATTATTATTATTATTATTATAATCAAGGGGAAGCTCTAAACCCGTAGGATTATACAGCGCCTGGGGGAGGGGGATGTGGAAGGCATTCAGGCTTATTAATTCGGGGAACTGGAGCACAGATCCAATTCCCTAAATCAAGAGCCCCTCACCAACATCAAGGAACCTTCCCTGAGGGGATCTGACAAACAAGATAATCTAAAACTTACTAAATTAAAATATATTCGTGAAAGTAGCATAAAATACCACATTTCTACAATATATTAAATACCCAATTTATTTAATAAATACCAAAGTTTGTAAAATATCTTCACAAATACAGAATATCTCACAAACAATGATGCATAAAATACAAAATACACCAGAATCTCATTGAAATACTTTAATAAGTATTTAATTTTTAAGGTTTAAATAATTGGCTACAGGACTCGTGGAAATAAGTCACTTTGTCCGACTTTTATTGATAATGCTACTTATAAACCTTATAACCTATTTATAAACCTTCTTACTTATAAACCTTATAACCTATTTATAAACCTTCTTACTTACAAACCTTATTATTATAAACCTAATTACTTATAAACCTACTTAATAAACCTTACTTATAAACCTACTTATAAACTTTCCAGGTAATATTCACTATGATAATTGTACTTAGGTATACCTGTGCCCAAATAAACTTACCATCACAAACTTACCATTACAGACTTACCATTACAGACTTACCATTACAGACTTACCATTACAGACTTACCATTACAGACTTACCATTACAGACTTACCATTACAGACTTACCATTACAGACTTACCATTACAGACTTACCATTACAGACTTACCATTACAGACTTACCATTACAGACCATTACAGACTTACCATTACAGACTTACCATTACAGACTTACCATTACAGACTTACCATTACAGACTTACCATTACAGACTTACCATTACAGACTTACCATTACAGACTTACCATTACAGACTTACCATCACAGACTTACCATTACAAACTTACCATCACAAACTTGACACTTAAAGTTACTGTGGCTGGTGTCAGCCTAGTGCGTGTAGGCGGACCAGACTCACTCTTATAAACTAAGTTTTCTGCCTACTAAATTATTCTTAGGCGACCTAACAGGGTCACACACTATGCTGGGTGAACACTCTTGATAGCTAACTAGGTGTTAGGTGCTGTTAGTAGGTGCAAGAGGTGTTAATGAAGGAAATATAGTCACCTGGAGTGCTGGGGTTGCTGTGTACATGCTGAGCACTGAAGACACACCCACTCTCCTGTACGATATGTTTTACACTGCTGTACGACATGTTTTACTCTTAAGGGGAAATAATGGTAATTATAATAATGATGATGATGTTGATAAAAATAATGATAACTATAATAATAAAGAGGATGATGATGATGTTAATAATAGTAATAATAATAATGTTAATAAGTATAATAATCTTTATTTACATACATGGTAAATTATACAGACCATAGCTCACAACTGGCATAATACTATACAGAAGACCTGTATGCAATTTCACTAAGCTCTCGTTCACGCGTGAGTTCCGGTTCATTCTGCAGTAGAAACATGGACGTGTTTCCTTATACTGGTTGTCTAGTTCACCATCTAATCCCATTATTATTTATATTATTATATTATTATATTATATATTATCTAAACTCTATACAGTTAGCGTAATTCGGGATCATTACATGGCAAGTAAAACATTACTGTTATTTATCTATATGTATATGTTATAATTAATATATATATATATTATTATATATATATATATATATATATATATATATATATATATATATATTATATATTAACTTATATAATATATATATATAAATATATATATAATATATATGAGTCATAATACTATAAAAATTATATTATATGTATATATATATATATATATATATATATATATATATATATATATATATATATATATATATATATATATATATATATATATATATATAAGAGAGAGAGAGAGAGGAAGACTTGCAGAATGTATATATCTGCAGTGAAAAGAAGGTGGGGTGGGGTTCGGCCTAGGAAATGTTGGAGGGGAGGGGGTAAAGGAGAGGTTTTGTGTGCGATGAGCTTGGACATCCAGCAAGCGTGTGTGAGCGTGTTAGACAGGAGTGGAGGCAAATGGTTTTCTGTGACTTGAGATGCTGTTGGAGTATGAGCAAAGTAACATTTATGAAGGTATTCAGGGAGACCAGTTAGCCGGACTTGAGTCCTGGAGGTGGTAAGTACAGTGCCTGCACTCTGAAGGAGGCTGTATAGATATACTGAAGTTTTTGAGCTGACAGGACAGTGATGGAATAAAAAATGGTGAAAGTATTTCTTCTTTTTCGGGTCACTCTACATTCCTACATACATATTCAGTTAAGAAAGAACCTAACTAATCACAACCTTACCTAACTTTGCGTAAGCCAGCCATCAGAACACCAACATTGTGACAAAATGAATTTGTACCTTTCTCGAATCACATTTTAAATCACTTATAAACCCAAAATTACCATAAAAGGAGAGGCTGGAGGCTCCTGGCAGAGGCAGAAGCTTCTTAATACAAACAACTGGTGTAACAAGACATAACACAACACACAAGGGTAAAATAACTCACCAGTCAGGTGTCACCTTTGTACTTATTTAGCGTCAGAAAACAGAGGATCACTTGCTACCACCTGTGTTGTTCTTGGAGAGGAGGAATGCTGCCTTCATGCTGCCTTCATGCTGCCTTTATGCTGCCTTTATGCTACCTTTATGCTGCCTTCATACTGCCTTCGTGCTGCCTTCATGTTGCTTCATTGGTTAATGGAGTTAAAGGTACTTAGTGCTATGTAAACAGTGAGGGATTAGTACCAAACTTGCACACGAAAATCACTCCCTATGAAGCAAAAGACTCGGCAGACGGTGCAACATTCCCCCAGTGAAAAGCAGAGGTGTCACTAGCACGATAAGAGACAATACAATAAGCGTCCGGGGCCCAAGACTGTTCAACTGCCTCCCAGCATATATAAGGGGGATTACCAATAGACCCCTGGGTGTCTTCAAGTCAGTACCTGACCAGCCAGGCTGTGGTTCGTACGTCGGTTTGCGTACGGCCAACAGCAACAGTCTGGTCATAGACCGGGCCAAAGGGGGCGTTGACCCCCGGAACCATCTCCAGGTATATGTAAGGTGCTAGCACCCAGGTACCTATTTACTGCTAGGTGAACAGTGACAGCGGGTACCTACTTACTGCTAGGTGAACAGTGACAGCAGGTGTAAGGAAACACGCCCAACGCTTCCACCAGTGCCGGGGATTGAACCACGGACACTCAGTATGAGGCGAGTGCGTTGGCAACCAAGCCACGGAACCCAGCATCTGAACCTTCCTAGAATCAAACCTCACTGACCCTCCCCTACAGGTTTAGCGCTTCGTTACGAATGTAATAACATTAATATTACGTCTTACATGGACAGGAAAGGAAGCACTAATGAAATTTTGACATTTTTTCCGCTACCCAGAGACAGTTTTGGAGGAAAAAAAAATCTAAAAAAAATTAGAAAAGTTCCCCCTCAAAAATGAAAAAAATAATGAGAAATATTATTATTAACGACAGAATAACGTTTACTGACGTTAGTTAATTAACAGTATTAATATACCTGGGTATATACACTGAGGTATATTTTTCAATATATATACACTGAGAGGTATAATATTTGAATCCTTGTATATTTTACGGTATATTGTATACACCGAGAGGTGTATATCAGTGTATATACCCCGAGAGGTATATATCAGCGTAT